GCACCAATCTTGCAATAAACACTCGGTCCCGTATTCAACACCTTCAGCGCGATGTCTGCATCCTCTGGATCAACCACCGGTGTCTCGTTCGCAGATTTGGTTGCACACAAGGCCGGGACAGCTTCGTCAAAAATGTTTACTCCATCTAATTCAGTGCTGTTACTTGTCGCTTTCGTTGTCACCCCAGACTTGAAACGAACTCTCGTTGGCGTATGTACCACGTTTACCGGCCTCAGTAGTTCGTGTGTACGCGCTACCGAGGCTTCGTTCGCATTATTGCCTCCGCCATGGGTAGTCGTGTAAGTGTCCAAAGGTTCTTCGAAAGACTGACCGTCGGCCGAATCCCCGGCTGTCACCCCAGACGCCAGACAGGCTTCCACTCGTTCACGCTCCTCCAGGATCAGTGCCCAGCGCTCTGCACACGTCAGACGATCACTAGAACCCACTACCGAGTCCTCTAGAGGTCGTGCTAGCACCCCACTGGGTTCTGAATAGTCGATCGATCAACTGCTGAAGGCTGAGTTGCAAGCCATTGTTCGTAGATTTCACATTCACGCTGAAAGAGCTCGCGGTCTCTGCAACCTTCGTAGGCCAACACTTGCCAGTCTTGGTATTTCTTGAACTCCAGACGCACATAGCCGTCACCTCGTGTTCCTCCAGCCAGACGTGGCGCTTCGCTAGTCGATATTCTCGCCGCTCGTGCGCTTGAATGTCCAGACGCTCGGGTGGCCCGGCGTTAACGGGGGAGCCGTACTCTTCGCTGTCGATCATGTTCTTGGTCTTGATCAGTGGGATTTGAACTTCGTGCGGTAATTGCGCCGTGAAACAGGTCCAACCGGATCCCAGCAGGGATCATAAAGTCGGTCCCGAGTACCACGTCGACGCCTGCACTATGCGCCATTACCCACATCTCGAACTCGTACACCATCTCCCATCCAAGCGTAATCTTGACGCACGCTCACCGCGTCGTAGACACCTTGCCTTCGTTAATACCTTGAATGTCAATGCGGCGTCCGTGATCGGGTACATCTCGGAGTCGCAACTTCTTGGCAAAGGCGTCAGTGATCACACTAACGTTCGCTCCTGTGTCGAGGAGGATCCTCGTTCGCTGGTCGTTCACAGCGCCTTGCACCAGAGCTCTCATTCTGATCCGTCGATCGAATTTCTTGGCCGACCACCACCCCTGTCTCTCGCCAGGGTTCAACTTCATCATCTTGGAGTGACCCTTGGGCTCGTCTCGCGCTGCACTCGAAACCAAGTCGAACGAACCCTCGCTGGTGCCCTCATCAGCATCAGCACACTCCACTCTCTCTCCGACACCTCCACCGAGGATTCTACTCCTCTCCTTTTCATTTTCCGTCGCGTTCACACTTGTTACGTATTTATCAGGCCATTCACTCTGCCCCATGAAAGCAAAGACACACTCTGCTTCCATTGAAGGCTCGGTTAACTGTGGCAGCCCGATAGGGACCAACCCAGTTGTAGTTGGCGGGCTGCCTAGTTTAAATGACGTTCTTGAACGACGGCCTTGAGCTCAGGCGGGGGTTCCTCCTTCGTGCCTTTAGTGCGCACGAATTTGGCAAGGTCTTGGAAGTTGCGGAAAAGTTCACATTGTCCAGCATCGTGGAGCTGTTTGCAGAACTTGCATCCCTTGTTACAGTAGTGGGCGGAGTGCCTCATGCCACCGCACACCGCGCATGGTCCGTACTGTGGGCGTCGGTTGTCGCGGTTGAAGTCACGTCGACTGCGTTGGTCCTGATTGAACCCACGGTCACCACTTCGGTGATCTTGATTGAAGCCATTCTCGCGATCAGGCGCGTTTCCACGCGGTTGACGGTTGTCTGAACGTGCGTAGGTGCCTTCAGCAGCTGCACGGCGCTCGTTTTCGTTAGCAGCGGCGAGGTATCGGTCATTTTCATCCAATAAGAAATCTCCATCCGTATTATCGGGCTGAAAGTCGTTGTACTCATCTTGGACATCGTCGTAAGCGTTAGGATCTTCGTTTGAATACTCGTTGCCCCCTTGAGCAGCTTCACGACCTTCTAATTCAGCTAGTAGGTCGTCCATCGTGGCTTCAATGAGCGTCACTCTTGGTTTGTTTCGGTTGTCATCGCGGCGACGGTCATCACGCCGATTGTTGCGGGCGTACCCATCGTCGCGTCTCGCGTCACGGCTCTTGGAGTATCGGTACTCACTGTCACGCTTGGCCATTCTCTCCTTGCACTTGAGAACATCTTCGATGATCTCTTCGAGCTCGTGAATGTCGGCGACTCGAGCGTGGTAGAGACTCTCCGCCAGCTTGTCATCATCGCATGTTGCTAGGAACTGCTGTACGTGTTCTTTCGCGTCGCGACCACTCTTCTCGAAATGTAGACGGGCGGTCCGAGGGTAGCCATTCAGCCTGTTTATGTAGTCGCACAGATGTTCCCGCTTGGCGGAGTAGTAACGCGACAGTGCCGTCTGAGTGAACTGCGAGCAGTAGTAGCGAATGAACGCGTCGCTCAACAGCTTCCACTTGCGCTTCGTCTTCTTCGAAAGTTGACGGAACCAATGAATGGCTCCGTCCCGGAGACTTAGTTCAAATGGAATGCACCATTTGTCGGCATCTGTGTGGGTTCCAGTCATTTCATAGACGAACCCACGGAGCCACTGCATACAGTTCTCGCACTTGTTGCGAGAGCCTGAGAACGACGTGATGCGATCCAATGGTCGGTGCGACGCCATTTCAATCCTCGGTGTCGGGTCCACGTCGTTCAGCGTCGCCAGCTCATTCATCTGACGCATCAACTCGACTTGAGGATCTTCCTCGTCGAATGTACGCACCAAAATGTCATCGTCACTGGACGAACCATCGTTGTCGACTTGACGACGTCCGGCACCACCTTTGGGAGCTCGCGCACCGCCTCAGCGACCGAACGAACCGTCGTTACCAGCGTAAATACGTTGCATACGGCTCTCCGAACATGGCGTAACCATGTGCGAGTCTTGAAAGTACGGTGAAGCTTCGGTAGTGCCAAAGGCACCACGCTCAGCTCCACGCTTGGTCGGAGGAGTACGAACGAGTCGTTGGGTGTCGGCGGCAGTGGAATCGTGGATGGATCTTCATCTTGAATCATCGGTCAACTCACAGCTGCTTTCCGGCGTTGATGCCAACAGCGCCAAACGCCTTCCGAAGCTTCTTCTTCCATTTCTGGAGAGCAGCTCCGGCTTCATGTGGACTCCAATCTTGGAGCGACATCGTCGATGGGTACGTCTCGTTCTCGAAGCCCAGCGACAACAGTAGCGAAACTGAATCCTCGGCAACTTGGCTAGTCGAAATCGAGTTGACTAGGTATTGAAGTTCCTGCGCAAGCGCAGGCCAGTCGGCTTTTTTCTTGGGGATGGGCTTGAGCAGCTGCATCCACTCATCATTCTGCATCAGCGCTTGTACGCGGTCGAAAACGCGCTTGGCGGCTGGTGTATCACCGTTGACAGGTGGGCGATGTGCCTTCAGCAGTGCTGAATGCTTTGCACTCGCCACCGAAGGTTTAGAACCTTCGGTACCATCGTCATAATCTTCGTAGGCGGGTTCCGGTCCCGCAACATCATCGAGCTCGTCGGCGAGGCTCCTCGAAAGAGACCTGGTCGCCCCGCTCAGCCCCGATGATAGTGTGGCCGTCTCCGGCGTCGCTGCGCCTGGCTCTGGAGCCGGCGTCTTGTCTTCGTAATCTTCATAATCGTGGGCGTCAGGAACGATGTCCGCTTCGTCGTCGAAGCTCACTGAAAGCTCGGTGGCGGCTGCAAAGCGCGCAGCCGTGCTTGAACTCTCGTTGCGAGCCCCGCCAGACTTGGCAGGCGTAACTGGTACCGTCGGTTGTCCTTTCGCCATGTTTCTTGTCTTTTTCTTGTTCTTCTTCTCGTGGTAGCTCATAAAGTGGAAGGCCATACAAACAGTTCACAATGGTCACAATCTGTTCCCGGGTCGCGGCACCAGTTGTGGTGTTGGAATTCCCACGTGAACTCTAGCTACAAATGTAGTTAGGACGTTCCCACAACAATACGTCTACTAGGATAGCACTCGATCGTTCGGGCGGACCTGAAGACCCCAGTTCTGCCCTTGCACCGGGACCAACTGGACCTTGTAAACTACTTATATAGACCAACCAGTAAAAATAAGAACACGCTACTAGCACGAGCAAAGCTAGCAGGTGTTTTGAATCCTCGTGGTCCCAACAGCGGAAGGGTACCTGGCACGGGTGAGCCTTTTACGAGATCACCGAGTGTTCAACACTCGGCTGGGAGAATAAAAAGGAGGCAATTCAAGCACTCCCAGTCGTGCAAATAGGCAACAATAAGCCGTCACGTAAAACCTCCCGATAATAATCGGCCAATACACAAAGTCTCTTGGCCTTGCCGGATGAGCCCTCGCTACAGAGCTTCGAGTTCACCGACAGGCATAACACACTCAAACAAGCTTGACCAGACGCTTACCTTGAAGCCGGACGTCGCTCTGTGTGCTTGAGTGGAAATTCTGTTCTGTATTTAAGCTTACCCTTTCGGGTCTATTCCTAATAAGAAGTCCTAATCAAGTATACAAATATCAAGTGAACAATGATCCGTTATGGATCTTCTTGCACGCCAAGCGTCGTCTGCACCGTCGCATGAGTATCTTTAACGGTCCGCGCCCTGTCCCAGACGGTGAACGTGCCTTCCAAAGGTCGCTGAGTCTTCCGCGAACTCATCACAACCGCCACTGAGGGTTTGTACCGTAGATGGTCCGCTGAATGCGAATCCGGCCCAGTCCATTATTAATAATAAGGACAGCCTGGATTCAGTGACATATGGCCGTATTCAATACTCGTGAAAGCTTGGGAGTGACGCCGTCGAGTCCCTTGCACCTTGGCGTCCCCGTACATCACCTGACCGAGGGTTCGTCGCTTGAACATCTTGGGCGGTGTCACGTCTTTGTCGACGGGGGATAATCCGCAACTACGGAGAAATCACTACACCACACTCTGCATATGAATACGAACGTCTCTATCAAGACGGTAGGGTCGTGGAAAACCCTACGGTTGGGGAAGTCGTGTAACAAGTATGATACGGACGAGTACGGTAAGGCGGTTACGTATTGTGATACGGACGAGTTCGGTGACGCGACCGAGTATGACGGCTCGTTCACGGCGAATGATGATGCCGACGTGAACGATGATGCGGACGTGTACGATGGAGCGGACGTGACGAGTACGGTGACTCGTTTGACGAGTAGGATAGGATGGGCGGGAGACGAAACGGTGATCAGGCAGAGCGCAGAAGCTGCCAGGAACAGACGGTACTGACGAAGTGTGGCATCTGGCTGCTGACGGTATTGAAGGACGGTAGGTACGTGCCTCCCGTATCCGAATTCGAAAGATACGGCGAGCACCCGGATGAGAGAAGGCCAGAGACGGCAACAGTTTAGAATTAGCGGTGTAGGCATCACTAGGAGATTAGTGGTGTCGGCACTTTGAGATTAGCGGCGGCGGCAGCAGTTTGGAATTGGCGTTGTCGGCCTTCCTTTGAAATTGGTGGTGGCGATCTCACTCGGCGATTGACGGCCTAAGACGCGTACGGCTTCGCATTGGAGACTGCGAGCCACGGATATGGATTGGACGGTGTGCTGCTCGAGCTCAGTGGAGCGAGTAGTAGTGCGCAAACGGACGGACGGACGAACGGGTAGCGCCTCGGTGGACGAGAACCAAGGACAGTCGGCGAGGAGTACAGACAGGGGGAACGCTCCCAAGTCTGCTGACGGTTGCGTAGTAGGGCGGCGTCTGAAGTGCGTGATGAGCCGAAGTGACTAAGTGGGCGACGCTGGAAACTTACTGAACTGCGGCGGGTTCGAGTTCATTTCGTAGAGGACGCTATCTGTATTTGGGTTGTAAACGGGTAGTAATAAAGTAGGTGTGCAATCAGTGGATCACACGCCGGCGCGGTGAACAGAGTTGCTCATCGTCGGCCATTTGGATCTTGGGCACCATCAGCACTGGGCGACCAACCCCGTCGTGCAGGGGGGCCAAGACACGTTACAGAGCTAATGGTGGCAAGCGGCAGCAAGGCGAGCAGAATCTACGATTACATTCGTGAACGAACGCCTCATTACGTCTAATTAAAGGATGTGCACAACCTCATTGCTCGAATAAAAAAGTCCGGTACGACAGACCCCCTATTTGGTTTTGAGTGTTTACTCACTATTCTATTGCTTAGGTGGTAGTCTAAGCGATGAAGACCTCGTGACAGAACTTTTGGTTAGTTTCGAGCTCGAGTCTGCAGGAAACGTGTCGGCTGTTGACGAGGATACTCATGGGCATACCGCCGTTGTGACTATTAGCTCGCAGCATCTGCGTAAGCTGTACAAGCGTTTTCCAGAGATACTGCTCGTAGACTGCACTCACAAGACGAACCGGTGCGTCTAAAACTATGTCATGTTTCGTTATGTTTTGGCCATGCTTTTGTGTGATTTAAAATCTTACGAGTACACCGCTTCGTTGTGTTTTGTCATGGCAATCAGATATACCTATCAGCTGTGTACACTGATGGTGATGGATCAATTTTTTTTGGCCACGGCCAGGCTGTTCAGCATTCTGTACTTGAGAGAAACGCAGATTGGCCCATGACGAAGGCTGTTGAACAATTCCAGTTAGCAAACGATTGGAAGCGTACGCAGGTCATAATTGTGGACAAAGACCTTACTGAAATTGGAGTGCTACGCACCAAGTTTCCAGACGCACGGATTCTTTTGTGCCAGTTTCATGTACTGAAGTGGCTACGTGGCGCAGTTCGTAATGACAAGAAATACGACAAGTACCCGAGTGGGATTCTTAAACAAATGGATCACTGCGTTTCGAACATGGTGTATTCGAAGTCTGATGATGAATTTGAGCAGCACGCAGCCGAACTTAAACACCTTGCATGTCGGGATGAGCGCTTCTCTCTGTGGAGCTACTTTGACAAGAATTGGGCTGCTTGCAAGGATATGTGGGTTACAGTTTACCGCATGAATTTGCCACACTTCCGAAACAACACCAACAACAGGTTGGAAAGTTTTTTCGGGAAGCTAAAAGCCGACTTGGATAGCTCTATGTCCATGCGCGAGTGCTTCGAGGCCACAATACGCTACCAGCGTCGGAAAGAGGACGCGTATGCAGCTCGAGTAGTCATACCCGGAACCCGTCGCGACCTGACGTATGAGGATGTGATGAATCACTTTCTCGGGATGATGAGTGAGTGGTTAGCAGATGTGTTTGAGCCGGAGTACAAATTTGCAGTGGAACCTGAGTCTGCTAAGATGTACAACATCGCCGACGAGGATCTCTACGTCAATTTTATCCGGGACGGTCACAACTATCGCGTCGACAAGTACAACTGGATGTGCACCTGTGAATTTTCGTCGACGATGAAGCTGCCTTCCCGACATGAGATGATCTACCGCAAGCACGTCACTCACCTGCTTACGATCCCATATTCATCCATTCCTGTTAGGTACAGTGTAAATGTTGGCCATGTTTTGAGCATGTTTTTAGGTACTGACCATGTTTCGCTTTCATGTTAACACGATTCGACCATGTTTTGTTACCATGTTTTTGGTCTATGATTTCGTTGATCAGATGGTTGCGCGTGGGATCTTTGGATAAAGAAATAGCTTCCGTGGACGTACCGTTGCGTATATCATCGGCTCGAGCTGACGGGCTTCGTAAGAAGCGCATGACTGAGCGTGATAAGTTCAAGGCGACTTAGAGTGCGCTCAGCCGATTAACTACTGAGCTATCAGACCCACCGGACCACAAGTTTGCGGCTGCACTTGATGACTTGGAAAAATGGCGGGGCCGCTTACGACTTGGAGATACCATGATGAAAACGTCAGACCATTCAAAAGAATCTGATGAAGAAATAGCTCCTACGCAAATCGATGCACATGCTACTTCTGATGATGTTGAAGAAAAAGATGAAACTGTACACGTGGAATTTTGTAGCAGATGAAACGGCTACAACAGAGGCCAAACAAACAGAGAAATGCAAACAAAAGACAGTAAGTATGAAGCCATTCAAGCCTAGAACTCGAGTTGGACGACCACGAACGGATAGAGCAGCTGATGCAGCTTATCGGAGGCAGTCACGGAAGGAGTATAACCAAGGTTCAAAACTGAGAGGGGCCTTGAGAGGTGATGATGTGGTTAAAGTTGCAGCATTTATCAAGTCGTGTGAGCCCCCGTTAGGTGATATGTCCTCATTTTTAAGTACGTTTGAGGTACGCCACCTCCGATCCAACCCCAAACAATTATCGGTGATATGGCGCGTTCCGGAGCCAAGTGTCATTCCATATCGACTACCGGAAGGTATGGTTTGTGAGGGGCTACGTTTGATCGAGTGTAAAAGATGTTTCGGTGAAGCTATCGGTTTGTGTACACCTGTGGATACAACTGCTGAGTGCTGGATGCTCACTGTTGATTCCATTGAAGACTTTACACACCAACAACTGCTGGCTATGTAGTATATCTGGAGTCTCCGTCATGCAAGTGAGAAGGGTATGAAATGCTATTCATGGCTTATGAGTATCGCAGACCACCTGATTTGTTACGATGAAACCGCTGGAGTAGCTAAGCGAATGCTTGATGCTTGGCCGAACGAACGCCTTCCTGGCTTTGGAGAAGGTGTGGATATTGAATGGTCTCATCTCTATTGTGCCCGTGTCGACTATTGGTATAGCGACAATATGATCACCGCTTACGGAAAGACGGTAGAAGGCGTCTAAAGCAACAACACAGCTATTTTGCTGCCGCCCATGAAAACACCGGTGCCAAAGACCCCCAAGAAAGGAATGCGTATTCCACCCACGACACTGAGCTTGATCTCCGCAGCCAGTTCGGGACGAGTTTTCTTGCCGCTGAATATTAACAGAACTCACTGGACTTGCCTCGTGGTGGATGGATATACGCAGACTGTGTGCTGCTACGATAGCATGGACAAGCGCGCTAACCACAACGTGCTTGCAGAGCTGGCAGATGAGATCGTGAAGAAAAGTCTGTCGAAGGCTTTTAGCATCACGGCCGTGCATAGCCCCATCCAAAAAACAGTAATAACTGCGGGGTATTCATCTGTTTGTACTTCTTGTGCCGGTTCTGGAAGGGAGCAGGCAGCAATTACACGGCCAATGAATTGTTACGCCGTCGATGGGATATCCTGCGTACCATCATGGAGTTCAGCGACGAAAGCAAAGGCAAAAAGAAGCTAGCTAAGTAGACACAGTTTCTAAGTCCAAAACCATACATATTTCCATGTTTCCATGAGCTCACCATGCTTTGACATGAGTACAGCAAAATCTCTCATTACAAAGGGTAGTTTGGCCATGCAATACAGTTGTTGAGAAATGTCCGACAAAGCCAAAGCGCACTCATTCTTCAATTTTCACACCCTACTGTGAATATGGTTGCCCATGTCACGCCATATCACAAACATATTCAGCATAAATTTCACGCTCCTCGTAATTTATTTTTTAGAATCATGGACAAAACCTAGCGATACATGACAAAACTCCATGATTTGGCCACCTAACCCTTTTAGAAAACATGGGCGCCAAAGTAAAATATGGTCTTGACACCAATCAAAAGCTGACACAATTGTATATTTCCCTGGTTATTGAATTGGTTTACACCACTTATGATGCGTTCAGTAGGACAGCGCATAAAATGTGCCGGCCGTGCCAATTAAGGGCCGCTATGGGCTGCTAAGTAATCTCTTATATGATACTGTAGTACCTTATTAGTGGCCAATGAAATAGCTAAGCCTGAAATTCCGAATTGCCTATTCGCTAACCGAATCCGGCCCACCGGCCCTAATTGGCATTTTACTTACCGGTAATGTTTCGTGTGGTGCCGGTCACGCGTTCTCCGAAATACATGTAGCCCGATTTCGGCCAATAAGCGTTCGCCAACTCAAAACCCGTCAATCGTTTTAGACTCCTCTTTGCCGTGCATTCCAGCTTCTTCCACTGTCGACGTAGCTAGCATGGCTTCGGTCGCGCGCGATGACCGATCGGAGGACGCGGACCTGCTCATGGACGATTTTCTATTCCACGAGACGGACACCTTCGCGTTTCCGCTGTTGGACTTTGACCCAGATAGCGTGCTGCCGACGTCCGCCGAGCTGGTTATGAACCAGACGCACCTGCAGCAGACTCAGCCGATAGTTCCAGTATCGGATAGCGTTTTGGGCCAGAACAGCAACAGCAATCGAAACAACAGCCAGCAGCCGACCAGTCCAATGAGCACTGACGGTGGCAGCACAGACACTGAGATGTCCATACCGCCGCCAGCTTCCGTCGAACAACAGAAACAACACCCTGAAATGGACGCTGCCTCGTCACCTGCTGCGAGAATATCGACGCTGCTGGGATTTTCGACGGCGGCCCACTCGCCACTTCCCAGCGAACAAAAGCTGTTAGCGCCCAGGACTAGCAGCACTAAAAGCAGTGTCAACGCGACGACGCATTCAGCCGAACCCTCGCTACCCACTACGCTGTTGCCACTGCCAACTTCTACAACGTTCCCGGGCGGACTACCTTACGCCATGCCAGTGGCCTACTTCCAGCCAACACTCAATACCAACCTGAAGCGGCCGTTCCCACAGGTGCTGCCAGTCCCAACAACGCCCAGTACTTCCTCAGGTCCTGTTACTCATGCTAGTCCTGCAGCCGACTTCGACCCCAACGCCAAGAAATCAAAACGCGAGATCCGCCAGATGAAAAATCGCGAGAGCGCTAACAAGAGCCGCCTGAGACGCAAAGCACAGCTGACGACACTGGCAACAGAGGTTACGGAGCTCAAGAAAAAAGAGCAGGAGTTGCAGACCATCATAGTTGGTCTACGCGCTGAGAACAAGTCGCTGCTGGACCAGAACACGTTTCTGCGCTCGCTGGTGACGAGCTTTATGCAGGAGCCCACATCATCCTCAAGCAGCCACCAGATGACTGCAGCATTCGCGTCGTTGCCTCCACCAGTGGAGCAGAGCTGCGTAGCTCTCAATATGATGGAAAGCGGCCAGAAGATGGAGGTGGATGGCGATCTACAGACTGAAGACACGGACCTGACTATGACGCGACCGGGCAAGCGGCGTGCTGTGACGTCCACCCTGTCAACGGCTAGTCTGGCTGTGTGTGCGTCCGTGTTCGGGATCACAATTTTCGCCGACTTCGATGGAGATGTTGACTCGGGTAACGTTCGTAGCGTCGGCCGCGTGCTGCACGAGGCACCTACGGCGTGTGGCATCGAAGGATGCTCGTCCGACATGTCGAAGTCTTGTATCAGCTTTATGGTGACTGCTGTGAAATCGTGGTGGCAGTTCGTGTCGTCGTCAGAGCTGGCGTTCGGCGTGCTGTTGAACGTGCTATCCTTTATTGCTATCGTGGCGCTGTATCAGGTGTGGCAGTCTGAGGGAGAATGGTGGTGGACATGCCGGACCATATCGAAACCTGATGGTCGACGCCAGGACTTACCTCCAGGCTCCGCTACGAAGAAGGGTGCGAAGAAACGGAACGCTGGTGCTCGGCTACGCGAGAAACCACGTTGTCACAATTAGGCCTTCAGGATGACTTGTTAAAGTGCTCGATACATGTGTCTGCATATGACTGCGTCAAACAAAATGATACTTACGAACCATTTAGAGTTGTAGAGATAAAGTTGGCCAATTATGCTTCGCACTTGACCGAAACTGAGACATTTATTGTAAACCCATCGAAAAAAGCTGTAAAAATACCCTTACCCAATTGCTTTTAACAAGAGCTTTTAAATAACACTTAAATTTTTTAAATTGAAAAAATATTGAGCTCACAACACTCCTAAATGTATCGTCATTTCGCGGGCCCATAAATGGAGATAATATTTTTGAGCGACCACAACTTCTTGAGTGCAAATCGCGATTCGTACTTAGATTCGTAAGTATCATTTTGTTTTGGGTGGTCTCATATTTGTTTTTCAAGGGGGCAGGTGGGTCACCACCCCAAAGTGCTCTGTCAGCACACGACAAATCGTATCAATTGTTTATTTTCTGTGTCGGTGCACAAACAGGGAAGCCAGCAACTAAGCTATCCAATCACGTTGTTTGCCGTGAGGTCGTCATTCAGTGCACACTACCTTAATTTTACCCAATCACAAAGACCCTGATGCAGCTGAAAATATTTTTTATTTTAGCCAACCAGGACCTCTAAGCTTAACTTGTCGCACCGGCTGATTTTGTAAATCTACGAAAAAGACGCTATTCTCGACGTTCCGCCCGAGGAGAGATGCCGAGGCTTATCCCTTGGCGAAACGCGGCCCTGAACGTCAGCGAAACTGACGTGGATGTGGTGCTCGACGGCTTGAAGGCCTTCGACATCACTAAGAGCAACATCATAGCGTGCACTATGTGCTACGGCTCTGAGCATAAAATGCGGTACAGACTATTGGCGTACGCGTGTGAAGCGTGTGCTGAGGCCGGCGAGGCCGTCTCGGTGAAATGCTCGTGGCGGGGCAAGGTGGCGACATGCAGCGATACAAATGTTGCGTGCATCTACGAGTTTGGCGAGCATTTGACTACAGCTGAGGCTGCAAAACAAAAAAGCAAACGCGGACGCAGAAACGTTTCTGCCGTGAGAAGGCCGGTCAGCACCTACGACCGATGCGTATCCACATTGCACTGTCACGCAAGTTCAGCACACCGCTAGACGACATGCCTTCCCTCTCTACAGTGCAAAACTTTGTAAACCACTATTTTAGAGCCTATTTGGAGAATCAAGATCGTCTCAAGGAACTGACGGCCTGGATTTACGCTCATGCCTTCAATGGCTCCGAGCAAATGATGCAAGCATTTGCGTTCGGTTGGAGCTACGACTGTGACGGAAGATTAGTCGTCGGAAACGGATCAGACGAAAAACCGTTTATTATAGATCCGACAAATAAGGCTCTACTACTGCGAACAACGGCATGATCAAGGATACCAAGGCACCTTTGAAGTCAAGTGGGGAAAGTGTCTGCCGTGGGTGTCAGCAAGGGAAAATGGTGCAGAAGCCGTTCCCCAGTAACCGCGACAAACGCAGCTACGACACGTTCGAGTTGCTTCATTTCGACATCTGCGGCCCCATGGAAGAAGAATCGTTCGGTGGGAGCAAGTACTTGCTGCTCATCGTTGACGAAGCCAGTGGATGCATGAAGGGTTTCTGCTTACGAGCTAAGTCGGACGCTGAAGAATGCCTCAAGAGCTATATCACGAAGGTACAGACGCAATTCGGCAAGCAGGTCAAGTTCGTACGCCATGACGGAGCTCGTGAGTTCGCGACAAACGCACTCAAGGTGCTCTACGAAGATCGAGACATCGAACAGCCGACCGCGGTTCCGTATGCGCACCAGACGAACGGCACTGCAGAACGAGCTATCAGGACTATCGTCACGATTGGTCACAGCATGTTGCACCATGCCAAGTTGGAGAAGTGTTTCTGGGGCGAAGCGGCGATGGCCGCTATCTACACTAAGAACCGCCTAAGATCGAAAACAAGACTCCATTTGAGATCGTGTACAAGTCCAAGCCAAGTGTGAAGCACATGCGTGTGTTTGGTTGTCGGACGAACGTCCTAACTCCGAGGGAAAAGAGACTTAAGTGGGATCCCAAGGCTCGAGAAGGGTTGTTCATGGGTAATGAAGAAGTGTCAAAGGCGTATCGAGTTTATGACATCGAGGCGGGGCAGGTGGTGATCAGTCGTGATGTCAATTTCGACGAATCAAACTTTGGGTTTTCGACGGCTAGTCCAAGCGACGACGACGCAGACTCTGATCTCGACCTCGACGCTCTCAGCATCAACAATACCAAAACTGCGTGCCCAACGGAATTCAAGCAGGCGAGGAAACGCAAGTGCCGCACAAGCAACGCTCACGGCATGACTACAAAATCGCGCGCTGCACAGCAGGCTGCCGGTTTGAAAGAAGCTAGAGCCCCAGAAACCTCGTTTGAGCGTCAAACAAAGCGCCGATCAGGTGTGCGAAATGGCTGTGATGTGGCCGATGAAGAAGAAAAAGTGGTCGAGGATCAAGACGACAATGACGCAGCTCCGCCTGTATTTTGGCGAGCATGTGTCAACGCAGTGGAAGCTGGTGATTTAGCTGAGCCGCCAACGTCCCAAGAAGCGGTGAACGGGCCTGATCAAGTGCATTGGGGCTAGGCCATCCGTGCCGAACTTAAGTCAATGCGCCTTCGCGGTGTGTTTCGAGCTGCCAAGTTACCGAACGGTCAACGGGCCATCAGTACGAAGTGGGTGTTCAAGATCAAACGCAAAGCGGATGGATCAATCGAGAAGTACAAGGCACGCCTTGTGGCGAAAGGCTTCAAGCAGAAGTATGGCATTGACTACACGAAAACGTTTTCGCCCGTGGTGAAGTATGTGCGTGTACCTCGGCTGGCCCCTGGACCAGCTGAACGTGGTCACAGCATTCCTGTATGGCATAATGAAGGAGGTGGTGTTCTGCATGGTGCCAGAAGGTGTCGAACTTGATGATGACTTCGACTGCCTGGAGCTGGTGAAGGCGATCTACGGTCTCAAGCAAGCATCGCATGTGTGGAACGAGACCTTCGACGACTACGTCTGCTCCATCGGCTTTTAAGTTTCAGCATACACCCGTGTCTCTACATCAAGACTGTGGATGGTCACTGTGTGCTTCTGCTGGTCTACGTAGACGACGTTTTGGTGACAGGTAGCTCGGCCGAGCTAATTGCAACCACCAGGAGCGATCTCAAGAAGCGCTTCGGGATGACCGACAGTGGCAAGTGTGCGTTCGTACTGGGAATTGAATTGGTGTACAACGCTGACGGGAGCGTGACGATGTGTCAGCGCCGATATGTCGACGACATCCTTAAGCGTTTTGGTATGGATGAGTGCAAGGCGGTGGTGAGTCCAGCTGATTTGAGCTCTCGACTAGCCCCAAGCAGTGCATCGACCAAGGTGAACGCTCCGTTCCGAGAGGCTGTAGGCGCACTCCTGCACTTGATGACCGCGACACGACCGGACATTGCCTTTGCCGTGGGATACGCTTCTCGCTTCATGGAGAACCCACAAGTCGAACACTGGGCTGCTGTGAAGCGCATCTTTCGCTATCTACAAGGAACTAAGTCGCATGGAATCTGCTTCAAGCCTGGTGACAAAGTGGATTTCCGCGGGTACTCTGCCGCAGACTGGGCTGGTGACCACTCCGATCGCAAGTCAACTTCGGGCTACACGTTTCTTTTAATGAGCGCACCCGTGAGTTGGGGGAGCAAAAAACAGTCAAGTGTGTCGCTGTCAGCAAGCGAGGCAGAATACATCGCGCTAAGTTTAGCTATTCAAGAAGCCAAGTGGATTCACCGCCTACTTTGAGAGATTTTGACGGCAGCAGGGGAATCGGAACCAGAGCTCAAGATCCTCGAAGACAGCCAGTCTTGCATCAAGATGACCAAGAACCCAGTAAACCATGGTCGGGCCAAGCACATCGACATCAAGTACCATCACATTCGTGATGAGGTCAAGCGCGGTGAGGTCAAACTGGAGTACTGCGAGACCTCTGTGATGCTGGCGGACATCATGACGAAGACGCTCCCGGGGACACGTCACAAGGACCTTACGACGGCGCTCGGAGTCAACGCGTGTTCGCATTGAGGGGGCGTATTGAGGGGTACCGGTTTCAGACGGTAAGTACCCATAAACCGGTAACCAAACCGGTCCAACACGATCCCGCAATGATTACGGTGCGCTGATTACGCTATCGATGATTAGACGAGTAGGATGATTGGACGAGTGTTGGTGATTGGATGCACCAATTGAATGGATGACCTAGATAGTGAGGACAGTGTAAGCTCCGATAAATCAATCACTTCGGAACCGTCCTTCTTCCCCCCAAGTGTCTTCGCTCCGGTCTACTCACCGAGTGGTGAATCTTCCCTTCGCTCCGTACAAGCCAACGTTGCCTATAACCCGTGACCTCTATCAGGCTTTAAAACTGACAAGTATTTGCTCTAGTGTTCCACTGTGACACATACAAAGCCGATCGAGTTGGAAAACTGCAAACGGTTGCAGCTGTTTGAAGTCGATAGTGTCCCGAGTGAGAACGGTGGCAACTGCAGGAATGGGACCGTAACCCCGGTCCCATGACCGGTTCGGCCGCCGCACTCATAGGATTTGCAGTCGCTGATGGCTGGTAAGAAGCGAGGTAGGAAAGCTTAAAGGCAATGGTCACTTCTACTTCTACACAATAAACCTCTACGTTTAACAGGTTATGAGCTCAACGGAACGTACTGTCGCCGCGGATGACGTCCGCCTGAAGCCGGAGCCAGCAAATGGTAGCAAAAGGGCTAAAAACGGCTCTGAAGAAGTCAAGAGGAATGAAGAGTCGAAGAGCACGCGGAGAAGCTGTTGGGCCTACTCACGGGCCTCACAGAGCGCATGGAGCGTCTAGAGGCGTCGCAAGAGCGGCAGGAAGAGAAAGAGTGGCTCACGGGCCGCGAAACCAGCGTATCCGGATCATCCCTCGGGCGTGGCGGGTCGATGGACCGTCTTGCACTTGACCAGACTCCGCCGAAAA